TAGGTAGGTAGGAAGATATGGAGATAGAAGATACTGTAGATCAGGGTTCTTCAAACTTGACAGCTTTTAAGACTTGTGGACTTCAACTCCCAGAATTCCTCCTCCAGTCATGTTAGCTCAGGAATTCTGGGAGTTGAAGTCCACAAGTCTTAAAAGCTGTCAAGTTTGAAGACCCTTGATTTAGAATAACAGAGTTGGAAGGGACCATGGAGGTCTTCTAGTCCAACCCCCTGCCCTAGGAAGAGGGTTGAGATAGAGAAAGAGATCGGTTTAATGTCCTGTTGGCGAATCCAGACAAAAAAAAAATTCCTGGGATGTTATTTTCCCCCCCCAAGAATATAAAACTTTACTGAATAAATCCACTGCGGCACAGAAGTGGAACCGGCTCTGGGTTTCCCCGCACGAACGCACACATAGTTCTTTCCTCACAGGGCCACCCAGAGTCCATTACGTCCTCCAAACCACTTCTGTTCGTTTTGTTATGGGAACCAAAACCAGCCACGCTAGGGCAATCTACTCTGGTTGTCCTTGTGGGGAACACAAGAACCCACAATGCTTGGAAGGCCATTCTCCCCACCCCACCCCACACACACACCCTTGACCCACCCATACCCACTCTTTGTCAAGTTGTGAGCGAAGCGTAGGGGAACGTTCGAGTCGACCTTGACCCGAAGGGCCCAAAGTCACCCAGGCGGCTTTTCTGTAACTCTTGGGAAACCGGCCGCAGGGGATCTCCCGTTTTCCCAGTTCAGCCCCCTGCTCTCTTGATATGGAAAGGGACCCTGTGCCCTGCTGTTGCTGCTGTTGCCCTTGTGTCGACACCGCCAGGTGGAAAGGGGTGAACGAGAGCAATCCTCTGTCCTTTATGTCAGGCAAACGGGGCACAAGAAGAAGCTGAACGCTTACATCGAGTTCTCTGAGCTGCTGGACCTGGGACCTTTCATGGAAGACAGAGGTAGGCGCGTTTCCTTCCCTGGATGGTGGATCGGGGCCCTTCTCCTGCCTCCTGAGCGCCCCTGGAACAGTGGTGGGATTCGGCAGGTTCACACCGGTTTGGGAGAACCGGCAGCTCACTTTTTGTGCAGGTTGGAGAACCGGCTGGATAGTGAGCCTCACCTTGCCCCTCCTCTCCCCTCCCCAATCCCTCCTCGCCTTGCCGCCCGGGCACTTGCCCAGCCACCCACGGTTACAAGAAGTGGCTGGGAGGGGAAGGGCCAGGCGGGGCAAGGAAAGGCCAGGCAAGGTGAGGCACCCCCTCGACGTGAGTGATGTCGAGTTGGCCGTGCCCATTGGGATGACCCAGGGTGGGGATACAAAAATAAACCGTCACAAAAACCCAGTGAAGCCCCTTTTATTCCTTCACTTTGCTTCTAAGCTCCAAATATCCTTGACAGAAGACCAAAAACAAGCAATTACAAGAAGGAGGGGGAAAAAACAACACAAATCGGGCAAGATAAGGGCTGGAGGACGTCCACAGATAACACACACTGGGAAGGACGCCAAACTCAGAAAGGAACCATAAACTAGAGATATTCCCATGCTTTGTTTCCAGCGCTCGCCCATACGCCTGTCCGTCCTCTTATCCAGTGGTCACAGCTGCAGCCCATTGAAGGGGATCAAGGCCCTCTCCTCCCCTGTAGACCATGTTTCTCCCTTATCCTCTCCTCCCTGCGTGCCCTAGGATGGAGAGGGGATGGGCCTGGGTCTTCCCCTGACTGCCCAGCCGGCCTCTGCCCTTCCCCGGCCTCCACCACAACCTCCAGAGCCACACCTTCCACTCCCTGTTGGCTCTTCCTCCTCTCCCTCGGACACCCATCCAGCCACGTCTGCCCAGCCGGTTATTAGGGCAGAGAACGGGGGGGGTTAAATTATTTGAATCCCACCACTGCCCTGGAAGCCTAGAATGTTATCGGGAAGGAGTGGGGCTTGCATGGCTGGGGAGGGGAGGGGGAACCAAGGATG